TGAAAGTAATTTGAATCTCGTTTGATATTTAGACTAATAAATTGCCTTTTGATTGAAGCATCCTTAGTGATCAAAACTGATCAAAACTATGAAACATGCTTTAATTACAGCTGATGTGGAACAAAACCCTGAAGCGCTACTTGATCCAGCATGTAGCATAGCTTGCACTTCATTTAATATCAGCTAGACTTTAATGATTTAGCTGTAAAATTGGTATTGATGCATCCCTACCTTTTCATTTTATTTATCAGCAACTAGTAATTAACAGCTCTTTTAGTAATTTTCCATTCTTTACTATATGTCTTTTGCATTTCACAGTTAGTAAACATTAACTGTAAACAATTGGTTTGTCAGTTCAATTAAAAAAAAAAATTGGTAGTAACAAGTAAATTAAGTAAGCTCACTCAAATAAACATTCTAAATGACCCACTGCTTCAATCAAAGTATTTATTTGACGTATTTGTCTTATTTGATGTATTTCTATTGATTTAACAATCTAAAACCGATGCTTCTACTTTAAGATGATTCTACTTTATGCAGCTGGAACATTTCACATTATGATCAACACCGTTTGACTCCAAACAGCTTACCTTAGACCAGATATATGCTCTCTCTGCTTTTTCCTGGTCAGCAGTCAGTGTTTGGTTTGTGTCACACCATTCGCACGGAGGCAATGCAGTGCTGTCAGCATAGTCTCCCTTTAATATAGTAGCCACACACGCCACATATCTGCCATCGCTGAGGAACAGGATTATCCAAAAGATACTTGGAATAACACACAGCAGGATAAATGTCCATTGATTAGAATCCTGACTTTGAGCTCTTACAGCAGGTCCTGGATTTTGAGGTCTCTCAGCACGTCTGATTTTGAGCTCCTAGAGCAACGCCCTGATTTTGAGTTCCTCCAGCAGGTCCCTGATTTTGAGTTCCTCCAGCAGGTCCCTGATTTTGAGTTTCCCCAGCAGGTCCCTGATTTTGAGTTCCTCCAGCAGGTCCCTGATTTTGAGTTTCCCCAGCAGGTCCCTGATTTTGAGTTCCTCCAGCAGGTCCCTGATTTTGAGTTCCTCCAGGAGCTCCCTGATTTTGAGTTCCTCCAGCAGGTCCCTGATTTTGAGTTCCTCCAGGAGCTCCCTGATTTTGAGTTCCTCCAGCAGGTCCCTGATTTTGAGTTCCTCCAGCAGGTCCCTGATTTTGAGTTCCTCCAGGAGCTCCCTGATTTTGAGTTTCCCCAGCAGGTCCCTGATTTTGAGTTCCTCCAGCAGTCCCTGATTTTGAGTTCCTCCAGGAGCTCCCTGATTTTGAGTTCCTCCAGCAGGTCCCTGATTTTGAGTTCCTCCAGGAGCTCCCTGATTTTGAGTTCCTCCAGCAGGTCCCTGATTTTGAGTTCCTCCAGGAGCTCCTTGATTTTGAGTTTCCCCAGCAGGTCCCTGATTTTGAGTTTCCCCAGCAGGTCCCTGATTTTGAGTTCCTCCAGCAGGTCCCTGATTTTGAGTTCCTCCAGGAGCTCCCTGATTTTGAGTTCCTCCAGCAGGTCCCTGATTTTGAGTTTCCCCAGCAGGTCCCTGATTTTGAGCTCCCTCAGCTGCTCCCTGATTTTGAATTCCCCCATCAGATTCCTGATTTTGAGCTCCCTCAGCAGCTCCTTGATTTTGAGTTTCCCTAGCAGCTCCAGGATTTTGAGTTTCCCCAGCAGATGTTCGATTTTGAGCTCCCCCAGCAGCTCCAGGATTTTGAATTCCCCCAGCAGATGTTCGATTTTGGGCTCCCCCAGTAGGAGCCTGATTTTGAGTTTTCTTTTTACATTTCTGCCTTTTTAGCTCACGCTTAATGCAAAATGTGACAGTAAAAATGACAAAGGCAGGCATCACCAGGTAGAAGGTGAAAAAATTTCTCCAATGATGCACTTACAAACGCACTGAAAGTCTCTCTCAACAAAGTTTTCTGCAACAACAAGGCCAACTAAGATTAAGATCAAAAATCCATTCTCTTTGTTAAATTTTATCTTGACTGCTTGTATAATGTCTTGCAAAGACATTTCTAATTCATGTTGTGCAGAGCACAGTGCCAGACAGCAGAAAATCTGAACCCAAATCTTAAATGTGGAAGTCAGCTTTGGCCACCAACCATGAATAGCAAAACACTCCACCTTCATGACATAAGATAATCAGGAAATGATCCTACAATAAACCTAAATGATAAGAACAGCAGAGTGCATGTTAAGGTGAAGCAGATGTCTACTGGATAAATCACTTAAATGATACACCACCCTTCAAAAGAAGTGATCTGGGCCTGCAGAAGTATGATTTCAAAGGAAATGCTGCCTCTTACAAAGTGCACCTTTATACAGACAACACTATTTTACACTTCTGTGCTGACTGTTAAAGCAACAATGGCAAAATTACAGTTCTCCTTGTATACAGTGCAATCTGCTCTCTAGAAGCATAGATTCGTCATCATGACTACAACACACATACAGACATTTTATTTACTATCCAAAACCACCACAGTTTTGCCCTGCATGTACCTTTCCAACATGCATATATTTACAAAATACTTAAAATAAATGAGGAGCCACAGTTGCACTTCATAGAAAGCACATCTCTCTTTCTGTGAATTCTTTGTGGTTGATTAAGATATATAGAGAAATTTGCATAAGTGTGTGTGGTAGTGCAAACAACAGTAATCTACATCATGTATGGTGTCACACATCCCTCCGGCTCTGAGACGCTCACGAACTCCATCTCCCAGAACCCTCTGGGGGATCACCTGACCAATGACTCTTCTCTGTGCTCCAATCATAGATCTCATTCACCTGAATACTAATCTTGTACACCTGTTCTGTTATGTGTCTAGTTAGATGTAGTATAAAGCCCTGGCTTTTAGACTAGTTACTTTGCGAGGTATTGCTTCTTCGAGTGAGAGCTACTGAGCGGTTTTTCTGATTGTCTAATTGTCACTGTTTTGTCTGCCTGGATTTTTTTGACTTTGTCTGCTTGTCTCTGCCCCTTTGGATTTGGTTGCCTGGTTCTTATGATTTTTCTTTTTTGTCTTTGGATTTTTTCGGATTTGACCTCGGATTTGCCTGTTCCCTGACCACGAGTTTCGCTCAAGCCCTTGATAATAAAGCGTTTCCTTTTGATTTTGACCGCAAGTGTCTGATTTGTCTGGTTGTGTCACATTGGAATGAAATTGTGGTGTATGAGTCTGAAGCAGGGTGTAATAATTATCTAGAGAAAAAAAACAGCAGATGATATTACTGATCAGCTAGTTATGAAGCTGATGGCATGAGGAAATAAACTGCTCCTGTGTCTGGCAATCTTAGTATATAGGGTTCTGTAGCGCCTGCCAGAGGGAGAGTGCAAAGAGTCTAGAATGATTTTGTCTGCCTGTTTTCAGGTTCTTGAAGAGTACAAGTCCTGGCGGGTGGGCAGGGGAACACCAATGACTTTTTCACTGGACTTTATTGTTAGTTGCAGTCTGTTTCTATCCTGTTTTGTGGCTGGAACCAGACCGTGTTGGCTGTGCACAGGACAGATTTGATGACTGCAGTATATATCTGGCTCAACAGTTCCTGTGGCAGACCCAACTTCCTCCACTGCTGCAGAAAGTACACCCTCTGCTGGGCCTTTTTGAGGAAGGAGTTGATGTTGGGCTTCCTCTTCAGGTATTAGGAAACGGTAGTTTTCAGAAACTTGAAGGTCTCCATAGTTGACCCAGGGCTGTTGGACACTGTAAGGGGGAGCAGTGCTGAGGGGTGTCTGCTAAGGTCCACAGTCATCTCCTCAGATTTGAGCGTGTTCAGCTCCAAGTTGTTCTGACTGAACCAGAACACCAGCTGTTCAAACTCCAGCCGATATGCAGGCTCAATGCCTGGATGAGTCAGATGACTGTTGTTGTGTCTGCAAATTTGAGAGTTTAACAGATGGGTCCTTAGAGGTGCAAACATTGGTACAGAGGGAGAAGAGCAGTGGGGAGTGTACACCTCCTTGAGGAGCACCAGTGCTGTGACGTACCCTAGCTGCAGCTGCTGTTTCCAGTCTGTCAGGAAGCTGGTGATCCACTGACAGATACAAGTCCACAAACAGAATCTTTGCATATGTCCCAACCAAGGTTACAGGGTGTAGTGCAGTCCCATGTTGACTGCATCATCCACTGATCTGTTTGCCCGGTATGCGAACTGCAGGGGGTCCAGCAGGTATCCTGTGATGTTCTTCAGGTGGGCCAACACTAGTTGTTCAAAGGACTTCATGACCACAAACACCAGAAGGGCAGCACAGGCTTTAAGACAGGAGGAGGAAACACCATCTAGACCTTGTGCTTTTCTGATCTTCGGTTTCTGGAAGAGCTGGCTCACATCCACAAATCTTAAGAGCAGAATGATGGAGGTAAGCTCACACAGTGAATAAAATGGCTTGCAGTTTATAAACAGTGCCTCCAAGCCTCCAAGTGCCTCCTTGTACTAACAATCTTTACTATCCGGTGTCGACCAGAGGAGGATGGGTTCCCCTTCTGAGTCTTGGTTCCTCTCAAAGTTTCTTCCTCCTGCTCTTAGGGAGTTTTTCCTTGCCACTGGAGGTATTGTGGAGGCACACTCATGGGGGCTTGGACCCGAATTTGTTTCTGTAATGCTGATTTCCTTGTAAAGCTGCTTTGTGACAACACCTGTTGTAAAAAGCGCTATATAAATAAACTTTGCTTTGCTTTGCTTTGGGCTGCAGTATTTATGTAGCACTGTGTCATCTTTACACCAGACTTTGTTAATGTAGAAGCAAATACTTCTTACATCAACAGGATTTTATTATATTTTCAGTGCAGTGTTTATTTCCTCAGGGTGTTTATCTACTGTTTAGCACCTAGGTGGCGATGTTGCTTCATAAATTGAGAGAAGAAAAAATGCACAGTTTAGTTTCAGTTTAGTTCCACATCACTGTCAAATCCAGCTCTCTTGAGACCAAGGCAAGACTAGAATCAGAGGTTAAAAACTAGGAAATTTTATCAAGTGATGTATCAAGAGATATTTATTGACAGTGAAATAATACAGTACACCGCAAAAATGCACAACTTAGGAGCTTCCATATGTATCTTTAAATAACTTAAAAGCACTATGTGGGATTAAACAAGCATTGGTGCTTCTGTCTAGTGAGCCTGCTATGGTGTTTAATGACAAGTTCAATTTCTTTGCTTCTTCAGCAAACAGTGCTAGCAGTGCTACAGCAGCAAAGGGATAGCAAGGCACTCAAGAAAAGAAGTAACAAGAAGAAAAGAATTAACAAGCAAGTAATTAACCTTGCTAATACAAGGTTACAGGGTGTTACTTGTTACAGTACAGACAATGTATATAATACTGAAGGTAAAAAATACGACAAAAAATATACACGCACAACTGAATCATAAGAAAATAAGTGACACAGGAGGGATCTGAATCAGTGACAGAAGACGAAACTTAATCACTAGCAAATGAAGACATAGGAGCAGATTTGGTGAAAGAGACAGGTGTCAGTTTGAGTGTCTCAACAGGGCAGTTGAGCCTGAGTTTTAGCACTGGATTTGTTCTGATCAGCTGGTATGTCTGCAGAGGCTAAACCATGCACGCGCCTGTTTGGGCTCGGTTGCGAGTTTGCCCATGTATTGAGCAGCAGGTCTGGCAGTGGACTGAACAGCAGGGCTGCTGAAAATCACAGGGAAACAACAACAGTGTTAAACACACTCAACAAAAACAACACAAAGACATGTAACAGTAATCATAAAAAGAACCAGGATAGGGATATTAGGGATAGGGTTGTTAGGGATAGGGATTTTAGGGATAGCGATATAGGGATTTTAGCAAACAGGATGAAAGCCTAAAGTATAAAAACTAAAATGAGGTCCCAATGAAATTTACAGTTATGCATTCTAGTCAAACGTTTGAAAATTAAAATAACAGATTTCAATCTCTTCCGCCCAATGACAGCTGGGATAGGCTCCAGCACCCCACCGCGACCCAGAAGGATAAGCGGTTTAGATGATGGATGGATGGATTTCAATCTCAGTGAGCTCTTCGCTATTAAATCATATGAACAAAGGGTACATTCAAAGATGGCAAAAGAACAACTGTAATGCCATCTGATTTATGACTGTAAATAACTGTAAATAAAAAAAACTGTAGTTCAAAATAGTTAAAGAAGGGGAAATGCCAACAAAACAATACATTTATACACACAATAATATGCAAAAATATGGTGACCCCTGGTAAAATTGGGTTTTGTTGATTTTCTAAGTGAAAATAAGTTAAAACATTCCCTACAGACAACACACTTCTGCACGTTTTAATACACAATTACTGTTTATTTACTGAATTTAACACAGAGAAAAATAAAATGTAGAATGTGGACTGTGTAAAATTTTATATTTTATGGTTTTTTTTTTTATATGTTAAACTTAGCTGTCTCATTTCAGTCTTTATGTCTGACAACTGCATTTTTTTTTTAGTTTTCTGACACATTTTTATGATTAAGTTCACCACTAACCATGGACGTCACTAGAGGTTCATAGATAGGGGGCTAAGCCTGTACTAGGGGGGTGTGGGGTATGGTCCCCCTGGAGAATTTTTTTTTAACAGCCCCAAAGTCTGTTCATCATGAAGGCTTAGAGCAGGAACAGACAAAAAAATGAACCAAAAAAATGGCGATTTGGTCAAATTGTCCCACAGTAGATCTGCCTCGGTTTATATTAAGCACAGAGCTAATATGACAAACACTATATCCATCCACTTACAACAGACACAGATCAAGCAAAGGTACTGAAGTCAAGCAATGCTACCTCTTCTGTCTTAGATAAGTCCTAAAAAATATTATTTAAACACTTATGAATTATAGATCAGTTCAGTCTTGGTTGGTGCAATCAGACAGAGTGTGATTTTCCTCTGTAGGCATGTTTAATATGCTAAGTGACAGAATTTCATGGTCACTGTGACAAATATTAGATTTTCTCAGTTAAGTTCAAATCAAATTCAGTATTACTTTTAAATGAAAGCTTATAAAACTCTCCCTTGCTTTCTTCTTGATCACTTACCTCCATCAGATTTGCTCCTTCGGTCTTCTTCAGCTGCTTTCTCATCTCTTCCTGTGTATAGGAATACATTATTTTTATTGTATTTTAATTCAGATTAGAACGAGAGAACAATCAGGTCTTAACTGGTAAAAATCTCCTCATCTGACTGGCCGTTGACGGAGCTGCCACCTCTTAATTTCTATCTACAGGTTAAAATTGCATTATCATCAACACTATGGGACTTTTTAACTGACATTAATTGACTGTAAACAACAATATATGGCAAATTCTGGTGTCATTCTTTCCAAATACTGAAGAGAAATAAAATAAAGAATAGAGCTGTCAGTAACATTATTTCTGTTGTTCGTTCACACTCTCACACTCCTACTATGAAGCGAATATGTGTATGTTCACACTGAAACTACTTACTGTTTTACTCTGTACATTATGGAGTTGGAATAAGGTCAGTTGCTAATTTTAGTGAGCTCTTAGCCAAAATCCTGTTACAGCTCAGCTTTTGCTGACTGACGTTTCTGGGCAGAGCGAGTAAACCCAGAGACCCTCCCCCATCTCTGATATGATTGGATTACAATTTAGGATGTCTGAAATGATTGGCTGAGCCAGGGATTCCACTTTTCACGTTATCTTAGTAAATCTCTGGTAGTACAGTAGAAGCTGCACTGCATTAGAGCAGCAACAGCCCCTCCCCCAGGTTGCTCCCTGCTATCCCAGTCTTTTATGAACTAGAATAAACTATAGATGACTTGAACTAGTAATGTGCATTTATCTGGAAGGGTGGGTTAAATAAAATATGGAGCTTGGAACTGGCCTAGCACTGCACATGCCACTAGCTTCTAAGTGACAACAATAGTCTGTTTATCCTAAGCTGCTGGAATTACTTTCAGCAGAAAGAAATGGCAGTAATAAAAAATATTTAAAACAATGTTCATGTCCTTCTTTTTGTTGTATAAAAGGAGGTTGTGTGTTGTGGCAAATAGAATCATGTCTTTGGCAGCCAATGTGATATTCTGAGAATGCTTTACAATAAGAGTACGTTAATTAAAGGTATTTAGTCCAGTTTTATGTGTGTGTATGTATAAATAGTCTAGTTTTTGTCCTGGTTGAGGGCCTGAATGGATTGAGGGAAGAAACTTCTGCTCATTCTCTCGGTGTTGGCCTTCAGGGAACAGACGCATTTCCCTGACTGAAAAAAGAGAGAAGTCCATTGTTGTCATGGCTTAGGTCTTTCACTATCTTCCTGGCTTTGGTCCAGCACTGCTTGATGTGGATAAACTACAGATCTGGGAGCTATTTTTGGATGAGGTGCTCAGCTGATCACACCACTCTCTGGAGAGCCCACTTATCCTGCTGGTACTGTTCCCAAACCTGGTTGTGATGCTTCCCATCAGAATGCTCTCGATGGTGCAGGAGCACTAGCACTGTGAAGGGCAGTTAAGGATCTCTAAAGTGTCTAAGGTGGTAAAGATTCTGATGGACCTTCTTCACCAGGGTGTTGATGTGGCAGGCCCATGATAAGTCCTGTGTGATGTGGACACCAAGGTATCCGAAGTTATCCACTCTCTCCACTGGGGCACAGTTGATCCTGAGGGGGTGGAAGCTCATCTGCTACTTCTTGCAGAAGTCCACTATCAACTCCTTTTTTGCTGACATTCAGGAGGAGGTGGTTCTCCTTACTCCAGTGCCCCAGGTACTAATCTTCTCCAGCTAGGCCTTTTCGTCATTCTCAGATATCAGGCCCACCACAACAATGATGGTAGAGTTGGAAGTGGCCGCACAGTCATGAATACAGCAGGGGGGCTCAGGACCAACCCTGTGGAGCTCCAGTGCTGAGGATCAAACATGTCTGCCCACCTGTACTGCTTGAGGTTTGTCTGTCAGGGAAATTGGAGATCCACTGACACAGGAATGGCTTTAGTCTTGGGTCCTTCAACTTGGTGGTGAGTAAGAGAGTGTAGTGTTAAAACTTGAGCTGTAGTCAAGAAACATCATTTTAACATAATTTCCCCTATTAGTGTCCAGATGGGTCAAAACTGTGTGCAACAGGTGTGTGATGCCATCATTTGTTGAGTGGTTGAGGCAGTATGCAGACTGTAACAGATCCAGAATGTCAGACAGTGAAGAGGTGATGAAGTTTCTGACCAACCTTTCAAAGCACTTCATCACAACTGAGGTCAGGGCTACTGGGCAATAGTCAGTGAGGCAGGAGGGCTGGGGTTTCGCTCGGGCAGGAATGATAATGGACTGTTTGAAGCACATGGGAATTACAGACAATGCCGACGATTGGTTTAAAATGACCCTGGACACTAGTGCTAGCTTTCAGTGCAGACTTTGAGGACCTTACCAGAAATGCTGATAGGAGCCGTGTTGCAAAAGGAATGATGTGTTGAAAAAAAAAAAACAAGAAAAGTTTGGTCGTGGCAGTTGTGACAGCTCAACGGTGCCATCTTGGTCCAGAATAAAATCTCAATTAAGCATTAAATAATGGTAGTAATGCTGACCAACCTATTATTTTAAATACTATTAAGTAGTATATTAATATGTTAACTAATGTGATTCCACAACTGGGACAGTAAGAACTAAACACTAATGAACAATTTATTGAAGCATATATATGATAAATCTTAATAAAAAAATCTACCTTTATTAATACTTCATAAATGCACAACAGCATAGAGTATGCAATATATGTATAAGGTGTATCAAGTACATATCTACTTCATGTATAAAGTATATAATATATACTACTTACACTTATATAACACACTTACATACTCACACTTACACTACTTAAGCACAAAGAGCATTAAATAATTAGCATAATGCTTATATAATACATCAATGAGAATCAGAGGGTTTTGTTACATACAAAATTGAAACTAGTGCATTTGAAGTAAAGAAAACTGCTAACATTTACTTCTTGAAGAGAACAGAAAAAGCATCTACATGGAGCATTTAGCCTCTCCACAGACATCAGACTTCTTTACAAACGAAGTCTTAACTTATTTCAGCACACAGATGATTGTTAAATGGTAGAGCGGGTTACAATGAACACTCTCTCTACCAGTTAAGATTATCTTAAGCACCCCCTCATGTTTCTGGCAGAAAACAGGGATCACTTCCAGCATCGCATGTAATGCGAATAATTACACACACGTCAAGGTGTGTAGTGTATTTTTTGGTAGTTGGGAGTTACAGCAGAATATTCAGGGCCTCTTTCCAGTGAATCTCCCTGTACATCTGACAGTCTGCCATCTTTTTCAAGTATTTCAGTTCTTACCTTAATTAATATTTAAACCATTACTTTGGTCGATGACTGACTGCATGATGAATTATGATTATAATGATATTTTTGTTTTTGTGAATGATTTAGTTATACAGCATTAACTAATTATTATGTATTATTATTTATTCATTTATTATTATTATTATTATAAACTTCAATAAGTCATTGTTGCTTAATTTTAGAGTCAAATATTTTCCACAACAGGAAAATTGACCTTCGCATTTAACAGTAGTTGGGGGTTAGGTGTCTAGCTCAAGGGCTCTTCAGTCATGTCCTTTTAGCTCAGGGGATCAAACCCCTGACCCCTTCCGGTCAGAAGACTACATAATAACATCTAAAACAATACGCTAGCTGTCATTACTGTTATTAGTTAATGATTAATTATGACATAACCATATAGTAATGATTATAAACTACTTAATAAAATCCAAAATAATGTTAGTTTCTGTTTCTATCATTAGTTAATCATTAGTTGCTACGTTACTTAACCGTTTAGTAATGATGATTACTCTCTTAAATACTGTTAATTGATGCACTCCTATTGTGAAGTGTTACTGATATTCTCCATAATTCAGCCCCTCTTAGTGTTCTGTTGTTTACCTGAAGATAAGCTGTGCTCAGTTTGTTGATGGATAGTTACCTGCAAATTCAGCTCCTCTTCATCTTTTTTTCTATTCTGTGAAGAAAATAAGTTGATAATAAGGTTTTCTAATTTTTCCTCCACTGCAGATTAATATGTAATGTTTGCTGGGGGACTGACCTGTTTTTTAGAGTTAGGGCAGTTTTCCAGGCAATTTTTCACATGTTTCCATTTTTCTGTACAGTGATCTTCACAGCATGTATACACCAGCAGTGCGAGCAAGACAATAATGAGGAGAGAAAAACCTACAAACTAATGCAAGAAACAACATATTTTAGATTTTACAGTGTAGAATACTGAACAACAAAATGGTTTCATTTAAAAGGTAAATTCCTGATCATGGGAATATGCGGAATTTTGGAAATGTCTCTACAGGTTTTTATCTACTTATGGGTAGAAACTGCTTTCTTGTACAATGTAGTGAGTTTCCATTAAATGCAGATAAGCCCTGATGTCCATCTCAGGTTATTAATACTAAACACATTTAAGGTGCGACAATGTAATGGTAACATGGTGATACTATGTAAGACACAATAAAAGTACGTAGATGAAAGTTTTAAGAGTTAAGGTTCTAGCTTGTGCAACAAAAAAATCATACTATCATAAACACACTACCCTCGCCTACCTGTGTAAAAAAAACTGCAAGTCATTCTGGATAAGACTGTCTGACAAATGCCATAAATGTAAATGTAAGTATAAGCAGCCTACCTTAGAGATGTAAAATGATTTCTGTGCACGGCGCTGGCCATCAGTCAGTGTTCGGTTTTGGTCACACCATTCCCACGGAGACTCACTAATACTGTCCAAATTTTCTCCCTTAAACTCAGTGCACAAACAAGCCACGTATCTTCCATCCAAGAAGAACAGAGCCATCCAAATGAAGGATGGAGTTAAAAAAGACACAGATTTTAAGACTGTTATCTTGTGTCCTGAGCAGCATGTTTCTTCTTTTTCTTGTGCAGATGGAGGCCAGAATTCAGGCCTCAGCAGGTAAACTCCGAAGCTAAGAGCAAGTAGCAAGGGCACTATGAAGTACAAACAGAAAAGAGCTATTGCATATCCATGTGTGCAAGGGCACACAAAGTCATGCTCGATGAATTTTTCTAAAATAATAAGAATGACACTAAAGAGCACATTGTTCTGAAAATGCCCTTCAAAGCATCATGTATCTTTCCCAGTACCATCGCTGCAGGTTAACCTGGGTAGCACAACAATATAAACTCAGAATGTGAGCTAACTGCCTTTCAGTTTAAGATCAGCTAAAGGAGTCACGTTACGTGTTCAGAAGATACAGACAGTTTCAGTAAATTAGATCATATCAGCTGCCAAAAACAGGAAACTGAGAAAAACAGGAAGCCGTGTGTTCGCATTCTTTTTATATGCTATATAAGTCACCCTTGTTTTATGTACTACAGTGAACCATGATAGGATGTCACGTGCGCAAGTCCAGTAGTGAAATTTCCTCATTACTTAATATACCGCAGTCAACTGTCAGCGGTATTATAACAATGTGAAAGCGATTGGGAACGACAGCAACTCAGCCATGAAGTGGTCGGCCACGTAAAATGACAGGGGGGGGGTCAGCAGCCCCTTAGTTCCAGTGAAAGGAACTCTTAATGCTTCAGCAGACCAAGAGATTTTGGACAATTTCATGCTCCCAACTTTGTGGGAACAGTTTGGGGACGGCCCCTTCCTGTTCCAATATGACTGCGCACCAGTGCACAAAGCAAGGTCCATAAAGACACGGATGAGCGAGAACTTGACTGGCCTGCACAGAGTCCTGACCTCAACCCGATAGAACACCTTTGGGATGAATTAGAGCGGAGACTGCGAGCCAGGCCTTCTTGTCCAACATCAGCGTCTGACCTCACAAATGCGCTTCTGGTAGAAGGTCAGAAATTCCCATAAACACACTCCTAACCCTTGTGGAAAGCCTTCCCAGAAGAGTTGAAGCTGTTATAGCTGCAAAGGGTGGGCCGACATATTAAACCCTATGGATTAAGAATGGGATGAACCTCAAGTTCATATATGTGTGCAGGCAGACGAGCAAATAGTTTTGGCAATATAGTGTATCTTTACTGGGCAGATCAGAATATTTTCATTTAATAATAAAAATGGATGTGTGTGTTGATTTATATTCAGTTGACTTTCAGTGCTGATTCTGTATCGATTCTTCCAAAAGTTACATTGCTAGATTGGACTGTAGTTGATTTGGCTGTCTGCTTCATTCAGAAACTGAACTAAACTGAACTGAACTAAACTGAACTGAACTCTCTTTTTCGGTCAAAGTTGACTTTCTGCCAAAGTGGCAGGAAGCAGCCAAATCTGGAGCCAGCCTGTCCAGAAAAGCAAAATAAACTCAGGAAACAAAAAGTTTTATCACTTTGGAAGTCTCTCACTCTCTTCCTTCCCCTCATCATGGAGTTTCACTCTCCAGGCGTGAGAAGTCATAAACAACTGCAGGGTCATCACAACAGACCCTAAAGACCGCGGATTGTTTTGCTGCTCTTCTGCAAATTAAAGTTAAACCAAAATTCTATTAATTTTTGACTGTATTAACTGCAACTGTATTAAATAGCTCACTTTCTCATAAAAGAAGCATACATCTATGTGCCCGTAAAAGATATGAAAGATTGAAGTTTAAGCATTCTTTTGCAAGGGACCAACAGTGTCAAACATGTGACTGGAATAAGTGCTGTATTTCATAAACCCCCCTTTTACATCATCATGATACACGATGACCAGAGATTATGGATCTTATGGCTTACTGATGTTTTGTTCCACACAGAATAATATTTACAAATACATATCAAATGTTGAAACTGAGAAATGTTATTGTTTTTTGAAAAATATATGCCCATTTTGAATTTGATGCCAACAGCACGTTCCAAAAAAGTTAGGACGGGGGCCTGTTTACCACAGTGTTTCATCACCTCTTCTTTTAACAGCACTCTGTAAGTGTTTGGGAACTGAGGAGACACTGCTGTAGTTTTGAAAGGGTAATGTTTTCCATTCTTGTTTGATACAGGATTTCAGCTGCTCAACAGTTCAGGGTCTCATTTGTCATATTTTTCATTTCATAATGCGCCAAATGTTATCAGTGGTGACAGGTCTGGACTGCAGACAGGTCAGTTTAGCGCCCGGACTTATTATGGAGCCATTTTGCTGTAATATGTGCAGAATGTGGTTTGACATTGTCTTGCTGAAATAAGCAAGACCTCCCCAGAAAAAAATGTTTCCAAAACATGTACACCTATCAGGCATAACATTATGACCACCTCCTTGTTTCTACACTCATTGTCCATTTTATCAGCTCCACTTACTATATAGGTAAGAATAACTGGTACGAGTGGATTTTATCTCATTCTTTATCACTACTCACAACGTTTGTCTTATCTTATTCTTTATCTCATTTTTATAACTACCTACAGTGTTAAATTCTTTATCTCATTCTTTCAGTACCCACAATGTTTCATTCTTTATCTCATCCTTTATCACTACACACAATCTTTCATTCTTTATCTCATTCTTTATCTAATTTTTATAACTACCTACCGTGTTTAATTCTTTCTCATTCTTTATCAATATCTTCAATCTTTCATTCTTTATCTCATGCTTTATCTCATTTTTATAACTACCTACAGTGTTTCATTCTTTATCTCATTCTTTATCACTACCTACAATCTTTCATTCTTTATCTCATTCTTTATCACCACCTTTGTCTCACTCTCGGTCTCACTGTTTTGGATAGTACATTGCCCCCTATAGAGTCTGTCCATCTGCAGATGTTCAAATTGTTGGTAAACTACTTAGTGAAACTCCACGATTATTACCAGTGGCAGAGACAATACTTGACATTTCAGTATTGACTGTTTACACAATGATCTAATGCCAAATGTGAACACAGCATTAATCTGCTGGAGTGTTTCCCCAGACTGTGGGCATTTAGTTGAGCTGTTCTAAATCCAAATATAGGCTACTGTTTACCTGGGGCTGTATTACGGAAACCTCCTGTTCCTAAGTTAAGATCTGACAAGATAAAAATAAGATATTCCACAAATTATGTATTATGGAAGCAAATTTTATCATAATTCAGGCATTTTATCATATCTTTAAGCATCTTTTCTCACATTAGAAAACAATTTAAATAGTTGCTAATTGCTAAACCAAAACCTGCTATCTGGAACAAAAGACACCAAAACTCTACTTGATATATTAATTAAAAAGCATGTTACAAATGAATATTACCAAATATTACAAATGAAATTACCTTTGCAATCTCAGTGTTTTTTTAATCTGTTTTATATCCAACTTTTAGTTAAAAGTTTGATAATCCGTATTCAAAGTGCCACATTTTTACAACCGTGAGTTGCCTAGGAACCAATCACAATCCAATTCAAAGAGGGGGTCCCAGTTTTTGTTGAGATAGAGGGGTAGGGCGAAGTGTTAGAGCTGTAATGGAGATTTTTCAGAGACTTCAAACAGAGTGTTATGAGAAAAAAAGAAAAACCGGCAAGATTGCTGCGTGAGCGACCAAAGAACCCCACAAATGTAAGTATTTTCTCCATTAAAAATTACGATAACCATTGTTCTATCTTAGTTTACTGTAGTTTCAATGTATTATGGTTGTTTTCCTCATAACAAGCACAAAAATCGCTAATAGCATGCTAATGTCTCGGTGGCTAGCTAGCTAACTTTCCCGTTCCACCTTAAATAGTCCGGCAGTATTGACATCTGAAGCGCCAGAATGTAACTGCTGCACCATTTAAGGTGGAACGGGAAAATTCGAGAAAGAAGCTGGTGAATAGCTGACTTCAGCTTCATATCATCAAAGAATTAGGAGTGGGTGATAATAAGTAATTGTCTTATCCCCCTCTTTGAAAGCGTATGATGCCCTAAATGTAATGAAGCAATGTCATTTGAGGGTTGTCCAATTTCGTAGGGCATGATTTCAACCAGTACCCCTTGTGACCCCTTTGGGTGACACTTGAAACAAGGGGTAGGGGTAAAAAGAAGAATTGGGATTGGGACTAAGTGTGACGATCTCTGGGTGTTTCTGTCCCTCTATTTTGCAATGTGATGCTGTCTGGGTGTTTCTGTCCCTCTGTGTTTTAATGTGATGCTGTCTGGGTGTATCTGTCCCTCTATGTTTCAATGTGATGCTCTCTGGGTCCTCTCCCTCTATCATTCAGCGTGATGCTCTTTGGGTCTTTCTCTCCCTTTGTTATTAAGTGTGATGCTCTCTGGGTCTGTCCTCTCCCGCTGTCATTCAGTGCAATGCTCTCTGGGTGTATCTGTCCCTCTATTTTTCAGTCATTCAGTCATTTTCCTGTCATTCAGTGTGCTGCTCTCTAGGCATTTGCTCCCCTTTTGCCTTTCAGTATGATGATCCCTGGGTATTTCCTTTAGGTCTGTTAGCTCACATGATAGAATTGGCAGTAAGCATTCCACTCCAAGTGCCCTCAGCTGTGTAGCGTGGAAGTGGTGGCTGACTTGATTATATGATATGATTTTGAGGATGTACAGTGCTAGCCATTACCCTGCTGGCTTGGTAGCACTGTGTGATAGAAATAATTGTAATAGCTTTAGCTATTCAGCAAAAATTGCCGTTGAAAACAACACCATATAAACAAAAGGAGACACAAAGGTGGAAAAAGTCACACTGACATAAACACATGGATACATTCATTCCCACTATGCTTTAGTACTGTAATACTTTTCTTTATCTATATGACTATTAGGAGTCACATTTTCTTAAATAATTTTTTGAAATCTATATTTAGAAACTTTTTTCACATATTTTCCTTTGACTTTCTTCATCCTTACTTGTACTTAATGGCAGTTTTACTAGAAACTAAATAAATGATATATGGGTCTACGGATTGCACTTGTATGTGTTCATTTCTAAACATCTGCTTTTGCATTATAGAGAGAGTAGTTCTTTGGCACACTGGAGTCAGTTGTGGGGGAAAGAGTTGAGGGTTGATACAGAGTCAGAGATTCACAAATACAGAAATAGTGGGTACATGAAGGCATATATGAAGACATGTTCGTAGTATGATTGATAGAATGTGACTGTCAGTGATTACACAAATCTTCCCGTGAGAACCTTTTGAGACATGGGCACAAACAGGTGCATGCACATGAGCGTAAGCAGAGTGCTGCACTTTTTTAAGACAGGATGTGGTTGGTACACTGGCCGACACTGTTAACACATACAGAGAAACCAAAGCGGTATGAAAAGAAACATGGACATGTTTTTTGAAACGATTGCATACATACATGTATACATATATACT